GCTGGAAAATATTCTTCTTAGCAAAGTATCTCAAGAATGGAAGAAAAAGTATCCAATGTACTCAGCCCTACTATGAAATTTCAGCCCAGGAATATGGGGAGAGAGGAGAGGGAGGGAAGGGGAGGGGGGAGGGCGGGTGGAGGGAGGGTGATTGGTGAGATCACACCTATGGTTCATCCTATGAGGGTACATGTGAATCTCTCTAAATGTAGAATATAAATGTCTTAACACAATAACTAAGAAAAAGACATGAAGGCTATGTTAACCAGTTGAATGAAAGTATTTCAAAGTACATATAGAAACAGTACACTGTACCCCATGATAGTATTAATATACTGCTATGATTTAATTAAAAAAAAAAAAGATAAATAGTTTACAACTGCACTTTCCTAAGGTACCTAGAGTAATCAAACTCAGAAATGAAAGCACAGTGGTGGTTTCCAGCGGGTAGAGGAGGACAGAGTAAGGAGTTATTTTGTAGTAGGTATAGTGATTCAGTTTGGAAAGTTGAAAAATTTCTGGAGATGGATGGTGATGATGATTGCACAACAATGTAAATGCCACTGAACTGTACACTTACAAATGGTTAAAATGGTAAATTTTATGTGATGTGTTAAAATAAAACAAAAATATTTGGGCTCATATAATTAAATCTTAATTAAATTCTAAAGAATTCTACTCCTAGAAAGGACCCTTAAGAAAGTGGCATAAATAGAAAGAAGTGGTAATCAGTTATCATCTCATCACAATAATGAGTAGAGGAAAAACAGTCAGCCCTCCAGAATGGTCAGCCCTAATGCGGTGAAGTTTTAGGACACTCCCAAAAGTTGAGTTTGCCAGTACTCAGGATCCTACAGCTTTTCTGATTCAGGACCACAGCTGCTAGCAGTGGTTTACCAGATCAGTGACAATGATGGAATGCAGGCTGTAACAAGTGCTTAACTGGAGTGATGTAATGGAAAAGGATGAAGTATTCTTTTTGATACCATGGTGGATGCAAGACAGGTCCAGTCCACCTAGGATATTCGTTTGATATAAGCTCCTTATAATTATACTTCCAAAAACCATCCACTCTATTTTCTGGTTGTCACTAACTTTAGCTTACTATAGGGTTTGGCACAAGTCATTTCCCCTTATGTCTAGTGAGGTCTAGCACAGAAGAGTTTTTTCCAGCTGACTCTCTTTTTTTCCATGCTTTAGCAAAAACAGTTCTAGCAGTTCGTACCTGCTGTCTTTCAGAGTGTCGGGAGTCATCATCAGGACTACAGAGGAATTCAAGGACCTGGCGAAAGAAAAGGTATTTTTTGATACCAGCACTCATGCCATAATGCTGTCACAATAAGCACAATGATAATTATCCTTTCAATATCACCAATTCATTCACACTTAGCTATAACAAATACCACAGGTGTGTGAAACCTTCCCAACTGATTGGCCCAGTACATGACCTATCAGGCTTAGGTATGCTAACAATTTTGTATGTGTCTTATAAACACTTTTCCAGACTTATAAACATAACCAGAGGCAGTATTATTTACATACCTTAAGTGCCCTTGATACCATGGACCAAGTAAAGCAAGGACTTAAGAGTCAGGCCACTTGAATTTGAATACTAACCTTATTAATACTTAATAATAACATTTATTGCTAATAATAACACCTCCTAAGTATGACCTTGGAAAAATTACTTAAATCTCTCCGGAGTCAAAGTCATTTGTAAGTAAATTCAGATTTTCCAAATCCAAAAAGTAATCTCTTCTTTAGTTGTTAGTCATCATAGTCTTACTACCAGTAAGATGGAGTACTTAAATCAGAACAAGGAATTCCTGGCAATGTAGATCAAAGAATAACTGAGAGAGCAGAATTCCTACAAACCAATCTCCACAAACCATACTCCCATGATACCAGGTACGAGGGAAAGTCAGACTATCTGGAACATACCATGGAGACACACACACACACACATACACACACACAGACACCACCACCCCCATTTAGATCCGAAACCGAACAGACCTCTCCTTGATAAGACATTTAGGCAACAGTCTGTTATATTAAAGAAACAATGCAATGCAGTGAACTTTGTACGTAAATAAGAGGAAATTCCTAGTTCTCACTGTTAAGGACACTTACCTGATCAAAAAGTGTTCTATTTACAAACAAGGTGTTGTCAGGCTTTGCAAGCTGCCGAGCAAGGAACGTAAAGAGACACCCTACTTGTGAGGGAGTAAAATCTGAATTCTCCACCATAACCTGATGAGCAAAAGAGATCATTCATTCAAAAGACCATCTGGTTTCATACAAAAAAATATACAATTAGAAGGGGGGGGAAGCCTCATTACTGAAGAATCATGAAAAGATTCTTTTATTGACTTAGCAAAAATTGAGTTCAATGCCACAAACTACTTGCATACTCTAAAAGGGAAATGATTTAGTAAGTTTTGGCACTTTTCTAGCATAATTTGGATGAGAACTGAATTGTTAAGAGATGAGGATATAGCATTTCAAAGAAATATTAATCATGTTTCCCTCAGGAATTCTTAGACAATAAGACAATTCTTATTATTATTCTTTAATAATCTATTAAAATTATCCTTTATCTAAATAACTCTACTAATAATCTGTCCATTCATGAAGGAAGAAGGGCGCTGCTTTGGGGTTTAAAAGTAAGATAACCTGAGAGTGAAGGTGTCCCAGAAAAGAAGTGAGCAATACTTCTTTGAGTGAGCCACAAGTGGCTTCTGCTGTGTCCACACTTAGTTCCTTGAACAGACAGTTTTGGATAGTGGGCTTTTTACAATCACACACAGTTATCAACTTACAGTCATTCCTCTGCTTTACTCAGCTCTTATCTCCTGAGTACTCACTATGTGTAAGATGCTACCTATGGTGGGTGCCTTGAAGGGAATTAGGAGCTACAAAGGAAGGAGAGACAAGTAAATAAATCTTAAATAAAAGGTAAAATGTGATCAGTGGTCTTATAAAGGCAGAAATGATGACAGAAGCAGAGGAGAAAATTTAGTTCTACTGACTAGAGAGGGAATTTGAAAAGAAATGAGAAAAGCTTTTCAGCTAAGTTTTAAAGCCCTTGCAGGGGAAAATGTCAGCAGAGAGGGTAAACCTCTAGCAGAAAGAAAAGTGATCAAAAGCACGGACACAGAAAAGTGATTAAAAACATGGAAGATCTTGTTAGGAAGAACTAGAACTTTCAGGGAGAATAATGCTGCACAATGTAGGAGGGAAAAAATCAGACTGAAATAAAAGATTAAGCCTCAAATGTCAACCTAAGGAACACAGAATTTATTCCATAGAAAACTGGGGAGCATTCAGGTACTGAAGCAGGAGAGTTGATTATGATCTGTACCATGCTAGGGATTTTACCCTGTCAGCAGGGCATGGGGTAACGTAACAGAAGGAAGAAGCAGATGGCGGGGAGACCAAGGTGCAAGTCACTGCAGGAATTCAGAGGCAGACAAAAGGGTTCTGAACTAGGGCAGTATAGTGAAAAATGGAAGGAGGAAAGCATGCAAAAGACACTGCAGAGAAAAGGGAAACAGGACAAATCTTCCTGTGGGTGGAACTGTAGTTAAAGAAGCAATAGAAAATGGCGGATTGTGAGCCTGATTGGCAGGTGGGACAATAATGTCACTAATAAAGAGGAATGCAGAAGTCTGGAAAGAAGATCAGGTATTGCTTTGGGCTTGCTGAGTTCATGGTGGGCACAACTCTACAACAAATTCAAGTATAGTATCCTGACATGTCTACTAAAAAGTCCTAAGTTCCCTATTTCCACCTTCCATTCAAAGACAAAGTAGAAGATTTCCTCTATTATAAAACATTCCCTAGCTTTTGACATATCTTTTCTCACTTTGCTATAAGTATAACCCTTTCTTTTACCCTTCCTGCTTTTAGTCCAGTAATCCACTTATATAATCATTACTAGAGTACATAAAGTTATGAAAACTAATTCTCTTTCATACATGCACATTCCAATTTATAATACTCCCAGAGCTTTCTTAGCCTTCGTGTGCTCAGTCATCACCCCTTTTCAGTGTGCAGTCCCTTTCCTAGGACTCAACTCATGGGGTCCAGCTAGAGCTCTTCTCTGGTGTTAGCCCTTCTTTTTGCTCTAAAACTCTCTTCTCACACACATCTTTTGAGAAAATGGCTCTAACCCACAACCAACCCTTTTGCCATCCTACAAAGTCTCTATTTCCATCCTTGACCTATTTCAGAGACCACACCTACTCAATTTTCTGGGTAACTTTGTAGAAAGTCACAAACTCACAGTTTTTTGCTGTCTGTAGCTACTGCACACATAATAATGCTCATTTGCCATCCTCTGGTCACTACCTATACTCCTGCTCTCACTGGTTCCTCAGAAGTATGCTTTAACAAGCATCAGAAATGAGAAAAATAATCTCAAAGGTCATTCATATGTATCATGAGCCAATTTTCAGAAAAAGCCCATTCAACATTGCCTCCATTTTGAAGGAAATGTAAATATTTTGAAGACCGTATATAAGAGTGGCAAATTCCTCAACAGTAATATTGTGAAGTTCTTCATGCAGCTTTATTCTCTGCATTTGGATCATATTTCAAATTTAGTACAGTTGAAATCTGAATTCCAATCTAACCAACTTACAAACATTTCTTAAACATCTACTAGGTTCCAAGTATTCTGGATATGTTCTAGGCATGCTAAAACAAAGACAAAAATAATAATCCTCATGGCCTCTACCCAGATGCTCAAGTCCAGAGAGGAAAAGAGGTAAACACTTCTGATTCAGTGTGCTAAGTGTGGAATAATGCGTGTGAACACAGAGAAGGGGTAACAACTCAACCCAGAAGTGTGGGGAAGGATTCAAACAGCACAGATGGTATTTAAGTCTTGGCAAATGGTTAGGAATTTGCCAGTCGCTGGAAGGGAAGGAAAAGGCAAGACAGAGTGCAATAAAACCCCTGCAAAGAACATAAACCATGAAGGTGACACAGAAATTCTAGTGCATTCCAATAATTTTACATGGGTGAGGAGTACATAATATAAGGTGGGGGGGGGGTAAGGAAGTAAGTGGGAGAGGAGAACAATTACACAACAGTAGTCAGGGCCTGGAAAATATAAAAGAATCTTCAATGTCATGTTAAACAGTTTAGATGGATATGGCAAAAATTACTATTTGTGCTCCAACATTGATTTTTCCCTACAAACTCAGAAACAGAGCTTGCATTTAGCTAAGCACATGGTTACCAAGAATACAGACTACTGACACATTTCTGTCACTCTAAGCAACTAAAAGCCACACATGGCAATGTGATGTAACCGGAATTGTAGTACACAACTTTTAAGAACTTTCCTTAGAGAAAAGGAAGTCTTCCTTCTACATCTCTTTCTACATTCAAGTTGGCTAGAATGCAGAGGTAATGGTTGAAGGCTGGTAGGCCATCTTGGAACAGAAGACAGGATCGCATACTACGAATAACACTAAGAAGGAATCTGCATCCCTGATAAGTTTATAAAGCCACTCTACTAGATCAGGTTGCCAATTTCTAGTCTTTTATGAGAAAAATAAACTCCCATTGCAATAAAACTATGGTCATTTTGAGTTTTCTCTCACTCGCAGCAGAACTTAATTCCAACTGACCAAAATGGAGCCATAGAAGAATATTACACAGAGGATAGGCAAGATCACAAATTAAAGGATTAGATTAGAACAGGAAGACTATTTAGGAAGGTATTTTGGAAATCTAGGTAAAATTCTCCATACTAGCCACTGGATCAAACTGGCATTATTTAAGAGCTTAGCAATCCTATTCTTAAATTTTTCACTGTTTATCTCACAAGATATGAGACAATGTATATAAACACTTTGGAAATTATAATAAACTATTATAAATGTGAATCATTGATGTCATGCACAACTATAAAAACATTTTAATTCTGGTCTCTTGTCCAAAATAATCTAAGTCATTAAAAGGAATTAACCTCCATTTTACAGCTAAATGAATAGAATGAAAACTTTAAGCTTTCAACTACAAGAGGAAACTGGCCTGCTTGAAGTCGTGTAGATGGGAAAGAAAAGAAACTGTCTCTGCAATCATTCATTAGCAACAGCGCAAATCTCAGAATAGCTTTTTGCTGAATCTAATTATATTTAGATCAGGATGATAACCTCTGTGTGCCTCAAACCATTCTCAAGTGCCACCCATCCCATCCCAGTGCCTGGGTAAAATATTGCAGTACCTCAACAACAAAGAGATGTTGGCTTGAGACAAAAGAATATTCTTCACATTAATTATTTTTTCAAAGCACTCTGTAGTTAAATTTTTATTATTCCACACACTCATATAATTATAGCAATTATCACAACATGCGTTTCTCAAGAACAGTACCCTATAAATCCTGGTATCTAGTCTAAAGTCAAGACGTTTTAATATTTTTTAATTCAGCTTTTCAGGACAAAGACACCATCATAAAATTTTAATATATGATTGCAACATATTATTTGCAATACAAGATTATTTTGTAACCTGCTATAAAACAATTTAAATACCTTAATATAAATTTCAATATAAAGACAGATATTCTCTGAATACATACTTTCAATAAAATATCCACAATTCGCTGTTGATATTCCACAGCTTGCTTGTCATTTTTAAAATCTTCAAATGTCTAAAAGGGGGAAGGAAATTTTAAAAAGTAATTACTATTTGCACATCTTAGAAAAAAACAAGTTACTGAATTCTTTTTTTTGTTTGTTTAGTTACTGAATTCTTGTTAATAAAATCCAAGTAAATCCCCAAATAAGATAATTATTCTTCATTACTTTTTTTTAAATTTCTCTCTTTTTTTTTTTTTAGAGACAGGGTCTTGCTCTGTCCAGTGCAATGGCAAAATCATAGCTCACTGTTAAAATCCTCAGCTCAAGTGATACCCTTGCCTCAGTGTTCCCAATAGCCAGGACTACAGGCATACACCACCATCCCTGCCAATTTTTTTTAAGTTTTGGTAAAGATGGGGTCTTGCTATGTTGCCCAGGCTGGTCTCAAACTCCTGAGCTCAAGCAATCCTCCTGCCCCAACCTTCAAAAGTGTTGGGATTATAAGCATGAGCTATTGCACCCAGCTCAAGTTTTTTCTTATGTACCTTTAAAGATAAGTTTTTAGTGGATCAAGTAGAAAGCTGTAGCATTTAATATAGCATGGTATTGTAAGACCTTAATAAATCAATAACTATAAAAATTTGAGAAAAGGCTCGGCACCTATAGCTCAAGCAGCTAAGGCGCCGCCACATACACTAGAGCTGGTGGGTTTGAATCCAACCTGGGCCCACCAAACAACAATGACAACTACAACCAAAAAATAGCTGGGCATGTGGTGGGCACCTGTAGTCCCAGCTACTTGGGAAGCTAAGGCAAGAGAATCACTTGAGCCCAGGAATTGGAAGTTGCTGTGAGCTATGATGCCACAGCACTCTACCCAGGGCGACAGCTTGAGGCTCTGTCTCAAAAAAATTTTTTTGAGAAAAAAGGCAGGCAATATCCAGAGGCAAAGAAAGAGAAAGAACACTAGTGATGAGAGGCAATTAGGGAGCAAAGGTTTAAGAAAAGAATGATGAAACAGCACGTACTTAGTCCTCATTCAGTCCATCTCATTTGGAAGTAAATAAGATACAGTTCATTAACCGTCATGAGAAGTATTTTTCATAATTTCCATGACAATTAAGAAAAAATGATGTCTAAAGATAAGCATTTAAAAAATTATTCTAAAATTGTTGAAATATTAAAATTATTAAGCCTACTTATAAGGAATAGGTATTCTAGTTTCAAAACACTGCCAAGTATAGCACTTATTATTTTTTTCTCCTTGTACAAGGAGAGCCAAATATATTCTGAATATCATGCATCAAATACATCACAACATCAGATTCTGCTTGGCAGTATATGGTTAACAGCATGTCACAAAAATACCTAGCACATGTAGGACAGATATGTGAAGAAACTGAAATCATATCCACTAAAAATAATTGAAATAAAAATATTTCCTGAATAGTAAGAATGACAGAAAATGTGAAGGTCTTTCCTATGTTTTCACTTAACACATTTGGTTCTAAGTAATGTTTAAATCCATATAGCAATAAATGATTGCTATTTTCTTGAAAAATGAAAATAGAATACATATTGTCCTAATAGATTAAAAATAAAAAGAAATTTCACAAACATGAACTTTCAAGACTACAAGGTCTAACAATTAAGTTTGCAAACTTAACCTAGAAAAAGGGCTATGTACCTCATTGCTGAGTATCACTATGGTCACCTTAGAAGCACTCCCTTGGAAAGTTACACACCAACGCCGTGCCCAGTCCACGCTTCAAACCAATTTTGGAACTTTTTTCCCAGAATGGCCAGAGATATCATTACCCTTCAATGTTTCCTTTATCTTTTTTTTTTTAGAGACAGAGTCTCACTTTGTTGCCCTCGGTAGAGTGCCATGGTGTCACAGCTCATAGCACCTCCAGCTCTTGGGCTTAGGCGATTCTCTTGCCTCAACCTCCCGAGTAGCTGGAACTACAGGTACCTGCCACAACGCCTGGCTATTTTTGTTGTTGCAGTTTGGCTGGGGCCGGGTTTAAACCCGCCACCCTCAGTATATGGGGCTAGTGTCCTACCCACTGAGCCACAGGCGCTGTTTTCCTTTATCTTTGGGTAAAGAAAAAAGTTATTGGGGGCCACATTAAGTAAGGAAGGTGGCCCAATACAGTTATTTGTTTACTGGTTAAAAGTCTCCCTCACAGACAGGGCTCTGTGAGCTAGTGCATTGCAGTGAAGCAAGAGCCATGCGTTACGTGCAAACAATTCAGGTCATTTTTAGTCTAACTTTTTTAGGCAGTCTTTGCAGCACTTCCAAATAGTAAACTTGGTTAACTGTTGCTCCATCTGGCAGAAATTCATAATGGATAATCCCTCTGATATCATAATAGGTTTTAGCAACACCGTTTTGACTCTTGACTTATAGTGACTGAATTTTTTTGGTCATGGAGAATTGTCTGACTTCCAGTGTGTACTTTGACACTTTGTTTTAGGGTCATATGGGTATATCCATGTTTCATCACCAGTGATAATATAGTCCACATCATTGTCTTGTCTCTCCAAAAGGTCTTAGAAGCTTCAACTCTCCTTCATCGGTATGCTCCTTTGGGACCATTTTTGTACACATCTTCTCATATCAAGATTTTCAGTTAAGATTTTCCTGTTTCTATTAATGCTTACTTGGTCTGCTATGCTTCTCACAGTCTGCTGACGATTGTGACGCACAATTCGACAAAGTTTTGCAATGTTTTCGTCAGTTCAGCTCATTACTGGCTGTCCTGACCTCTCTTCATCTGTGACATATTTTCTCCCCTCAGAAAAATGTTTACTCCATTTATCCACTGCTGTATTCTTCACGGCATTATCTCCATAAACTTAGACTAACATGTCCCTAATTTCATTTCCACTCTTGCAAAGTTTAACAAGAAATTTAATGTTTGTTCATTGCTCTAATTCAAGCTCTGACAATCTCACAATGGCACACAGAAACATGCAAGAACAAGAATAAATTGCACTCAGCAAGACACTGCCACCCGTCAACACAAATACAGCTGTGAGACACTGATTTACCAAGGTTGTGAAACCTCCCAAGTCCTTTGTACAGTGCTGCCAACGTAAGCACACAGTAGTGATTTTGCAAACTTAATTCTTAATTCTTAAGGTAAGTCCTCGCACATTATAGTTCTTTTCAAAGCATAGCACCTGCTGTTCTTTAAATAGGCCCTAAATTTCCCCCAGTATCTCCAAAGTACCTTTGTTCATGCCCTTCCCTTCCTTCTCCTGCTTAGGTTAACAAATGACTGTTGCATTGTCTAGTTAATCGTTTACAGTGAAAAATAAAGTATTTTTAACTTTTTTTGTCAGCTGGTCTCTGTTGCTGCCTGTTAGTTGAGAAATGCTTAAATACGTTACCAAGGAGGTTGTAGGAACTCTTAATCTAGAAGGCTCAGATGGAAGGTATTCTGATGTATGTGGGTTAAAATATGACCCTGTCTGAAGATGGAAAGAGGGACTAGAAAGTCTTTCAATTCTATCTTGTAATTTATGAGCACACATACACACACCCCCATCCCTGTTTGTTAAAGTGAGATGTCAATTTTGCAGGTAAAACAGCAAGTACTATCTGCTAATACAAGGGCTATTTAACCATAATATAAACCACAGAGAATTAACATATGTATTTAAAACAACAGCATTGACAGCAAGTCAAAAACAATTTCCTTAGGGATTTTCCTTTTGGCAGCATAAAGTCACTGCTTTGAAGCACATATTGAAAGTCTGTTTGTATAAACATAATTAAGTGGTGACATACTACAGTGTGAATATTATGATACAGTTAATGACATATTCTGACAGTAGTTAACCACCACCCAAATGGCACATCATTGTTAAAACATTATCATTTACAAAGATGCTTTTAATTATGAATGCTTGTTAGAGAAAAAAATATGCAAAGATGCCCTAATGAAAAACGACAGTTGGTGAAGTACAAAGAGAGATCTAAAATTCAAGTTCAAAGTCATCTTGAATTTAGGCATAAAAACTTCTTTTTGTAGTACTTTAAAAGTTATGGGATTTCTGTATGATAATGATAGCAAGGGATATCCTCATCCAAGGGTGACAGTAAATATTTCAGGCCTTGTGGGCTACATGTGGTCTTTGTCACATATTCTTCTTCTTTAGGGGTCTAATTTGCCTCCTAAAATATCACTCATATCCTTTCACATCTTGATATATCTACTGTTACCGCCCTAATTCAAGCTGCCATCTACCTTGATTACTATAAAAGTTCCCTAACAAATCTGCTTGCCTTTAGTCTTGCTTATTTCAATCCATTTGTGTCCCCCAAGATTCATGCTGAAAACCTAATTACCAAAGTGGTAGTATTAGGTGGTATCACCTTTGGGAGGTGATTAGATCATGAGGGCTGAGCCTCATGAATGAGATCAGTGCTTATATTTATAAAACAGGCCCCAGAGAGATTCGTTGTCCATTCCTGCCATGTGAGGAAATAGTGCTATTTTATGAACCAGGAAATGGGCCCCAAATAGACAAGAGTCTCCCAATGCCTTGATCTCGCATTTCCAGCCTCCAGAACTGTGAGAAATGAATTTCTGGTATGAGTCACCTACTCTACGCTACTTTGTTATAGCAGCCCAAACTGACTGAGACACAAGAGTCAGAGGAAACCTTTTAAAAGTATAAATCATGATACTTCTCTTCCCAAAAGGCTTCAATGGCTACCTACTGCTGTAATTATAACATCCAAATTTCTCACTACAGATTATTAGACTCAGTGTTTGCCTATCTCTCTGAATCTGTTTCTCCTTGTGCTTTTCTTTACCCATAAAGATGCAGGCATACTGAATTTTCTTCAATTACTAGAATATATATTGCTCTTCTCATTTCCATACCTTTTTACATAGTCTGCCCTTCTGCCTACAATATTTTCCCTACCCTTCACCTAACTTCTACTCATTTTTTTAAGACTCAGAATGGATAATTTCATCCAAGAAACCTGCCCTAAGACCCCATTAGATGCCCCTCATAAGTGTTCCTATACCATCACACACTTCCCTAAGGCATGTACTAAATTCTATACTGCCCTATAATCACTTGTGTGCAAGTCTGATCCTCTTCTTCCACAAGGGCAGAGTTTATATCCTATCAGCCAAAGTTGCGACCCTCAATTAGAATACTATATGGGATAGACTATACACTCAAATATTTGTCAAGCAAATGAAAGATTGTTTTGTAGTCTTATTATAAATCCTAAAATAATTATTCAGATATCAGCATAATTTCAAATGTGGGTCAGTGCTATCATAGCCCTTAAAAAAATGAAAACTAGGTCAAATGGTCAAATTCTTTGTTTTTTCCACTACTCTTTCCATACCCCCCTGCTCCATTACTTCCTGTTTTTTCCTACTTGCTGGCCATCAAGTATCCTTATGTTCTCCTCTGGACATCTAAGGTATCCTAAAATAACTAGATCTAATTTCCAGATCTAAGTTTCTTTTCCTTTCATCCTATGAAATTAAAGTTACTACTTCTGAGGTCAGATTTTCAAATTAAACTAATTCAAAAATTAAAAATAGTTTAAACTGCACACAAACTTTATGGTCACCCTGTATAATAACCTTCTCAGGAGTACTCAACTTTTTAAAACAGTTTATGAAAGTAGTATATATTCATTCCTTAGGGGAGTTTGTTCCATTTCATACAGTTAATCACTATGAGTATTTAGGTGTATTTCCATCATGTCTTTTATCTCCAAATACCGCATATGTATATGTGTGTGTGTTGTACCTATTTGTGAGCCTGCTGCTTTCACTAACCACAAAAATGTAAGCATTTTATCAAAAGCTTTTCAAAACCCAACTGTGATACCATTTTTTTGGGAAGATAACATAATGTTTTATAAAACTACAGCAGAACCTCCATAGCTGACTACCTCCCTACATTGACGACCTCAAGGTGACCTAATTTTCATAGACCAGACATGAACCACAAGTACATATTAGTACAGTAGGCCTAGCTCTTTATGTTGACCGTCTCCATATGTTGACCAGTTTGTTATAGTCCCTTTGGTGGTCAACTTACAGAGGTTCTACTATATTTCCCTAGAAGCATCTTCATAGATAACCTGGCTCAAACAAATTAATCTCCAATTAAACATATATAAGAGTGTTTTTTTTAGCAAAAAGCTTCCTTGTGTCATTTCAACTCCAATTATTTCCACTATCATCACCACCACATCTCTTTCAGAGTACTCTTCTATATTTAGTATGCCAAGTAATATAATTTATGAAATCAGAGATGCACTACATCTAACCCTGCTTGCTTTAACTTTTTAATGGGGGAGAGTGGGAAGAAAAAAAAGGGAGGAGAGGGAGATAAAGAACTAGAGAGAAAATATGGGTAGCACAACAAAATTAAACATTTGAAACTCTGACTTACTGCTAGGGCATAAAAATTCTACCTACAGAAGGATTATTATTTTTCCTTCCTTACATTAAAAAAAAAAAA